GCCGAAGTTTTATTTTTTTTCTAGATTATATGATCAGACACCCAACTATTATCTAATTGACATCAAAAAAGCAGGCTTGAATTTTACTTCGAATTTCCGGAATACAAAAAATTTTAAGCAGTTCTGAAATTAATTTTCATCCGGTGCTATATTTTCACAAGAGTTTAAGATGTTGGTATTATGAGTGATTGTAGCTGTAGTATGTAATTTGGGTCCTACAACTCTTACTTGCATTCGATGATGCTTGATTTAGTGGTCTTTTCAGGAGTTCTTGGGTTTTTCCATGTTTACCTCATAGGTGTTGGTAGTAGAGTTGTATTTGATGGGAGTACTTAGTATAGTACTATACAAAAAAAAATATTTCAGTTAGTTCTCGGGTATCTGTATCCGACTTCTACCAAAGAATTACAATTACACTTTGTCAGGGCTTTGATGCCATAGCTCACCTCAGCTTTATCTTTTACAGCATTTGCGCTTTTTCTCATTTCAAAATAGGATCCAGACCAAGACAAATGTTTGATAATCCTATTCAGAAGCTTATCCTTGGCTTGTAAATTACCTTTCAAAAGTCGATGAACTACTTCTATATCTGGGTAATTTCTTCAGCAGTTGTCCTTAAACTTCATAGCTACACAGTAGGTATCATTTGCTATTTCCTCAGGATTTATTATGAATTGTCTTGTAAAAGTTGTTGCTTAAACAAATGGATAATGACTTGTGCAAACACTTCATTTTACATTTTTTGTAACTTAATCTTATTCTATTTTACTCATTCATTTGATGAGTATTCCACAAATTTTCACACCCATTTCTGTAGCTGCGGATGACTTTCTTTTGAGTCGTGTATATTTTGAAAAAAAAACGAGCAACTCAAATTAAAGAACTCTTCTTTAAATGATAAGTGATGATGCTTTCCTGACCATGAGGGTCGCGAAGTGCATTGCTGCGTATCTCTCTTTGGAATCAAGTATAGTTATTTTTTGAAACGTCAATTAGTTGTAGTTGAATTGGCTGTTCTTGGTATTGATTTTCACGCTGATTATTGCTTTTTTATTTATCGATTTTTGTGCAACATTAATTCTGTTACACTTGATGTGGAAAATCGATCCGAAAATTCCCGTAAGGCATGAGACATAAAGTATACTGCATTTCAGTTCTGGTTTGGGCAGAAAGGAGGAGCAGAACTGCAACAATGTTGGCGATGATAAATCGTGTTCTGGATTGGATCCGGAGTTTATTCTGGAAGGAGGAAATGGAATTAACACTTGTCGGGCTCCAGAATTCTGGAAAAACCACATTTGTTAATGTTATTGCGGTATTAGTTAGATTCATTGTGTTCAAAATTCAGCAAATTCAAGCTAAACATAATTTGGGAAGTTGTTGATTTGAGTCAGATTTTGTTTACTTTTCTTTTCAAAAGGCTAGAGTTTTAGAATGGTCAATTCACTGAAGACATGATTCCAACGGTCGGATTCAATATGCGTAAAATCACGAAAGGAAATGTCACAATTAAGGTAAGGTCGGTAGCTTCCTGGAAATTAGTATAATGGCAGATACATCAACGACAGCTATCAATTAATGAGGGAGGTTACAGTTTGAAACACTACTCTTCATTTTGGGTCTCATAATGTTGTGTCCTGGAAGTGATATGTTAAAAGGATAGAATTTTGTAGAATATATAAAAATTTGTTACATCATGAGATTATTGTTTCAATCCTTGGTTTTTGACATTTGTTCTCTCACTGACACGATGATGAGTTGAAGTTCGTTACGCAACGCGGAGTTTTCTAATTAATGATGCCTTTTTACTGCTACTTCTCAGTCAGTGCTAGTATGTCGGTGATGATATATTAAACTTAAGTAAAGCTTTCAGTTCTGCAAAAAAGATGTTTATTATGCTCTGCGTGATTTTTTCAGTTTTATCTTTCATTGCTTTCATTTTTCTCCACTTCTCAACGAATTTTTTCATTTCTTATTTTGGTTAGAAGCAGTTCTCTTCTGAAACAAACTCCCTAAACCTTCTAATTTTCATTTTCTTTTCCAATCTTAAGCCTTATTTAGATTTCTGTGGAATTTATTTTCTTTTTTTGGAACAATTTAGTTTTCTGTTTGCTTCGTTTACATGGTTCCTTAATTACACCAATAATGGCATATCCTCAAAACATTATGGCAAGTGCAGTTTAATAGAGGTGTCATATTTAGCTGTAATTATGAAGTGTAACTGATCAACTCTTTGTTTGGATTTCCGCAGTCCAGATGTTAATTCTAAAATCATTTTGTATTTATTTACTAATTGCTTGAACTTTGCAGCACCATAATACAGTATACATTGTTTTAAGTTATGGGATATTGGTGGACAACCTCGGTTTCGTTCTATGTGGGAAAGGTATTGTCGAGGTGTCAATGCGATCATTTTTATGGTCGATGCTGCTGATGAAGATAAACTGGAGGCTTCTAGGAATGAATTAAGCCAGCTTTTAGATAAGCCACAGCTTGATTCCATCCCAGTGCTTGTATTAGCAAACAAAAAAGATCTTCCCGGTGCTCTTGATGAACGGCAACTTATTGAGCGAATGTAAGTCATAATTGTTAAACATATTGAAATTTCATGATTCAGTGAGTGGAAGATTGCATAAAACCGTTTTTGATGGGCAGTACATAAAGTCTGAGTTATTTCACTTCACAGGCGTTAATTTCAGGAACTTGTCAGCAATCCAAAACAGAGAAATCTGCTGCTATTCGATATCTTGCAAGGAAAAGGACAACATAGGTTTCTTTTATATTTAAATGTGCACGTAATTAAAAGGCTACACCAGCAAGAACTGTTTGCATAAAGACTGTTTGGATCGTCCAGCTCCGTTCAAATTCTGTGAAATCTTAGAATTGCGGCATTGTTCTTCAGTAGTTAGTGTATCCACTTGTATTTTCAGATATAACGTTGCAGTGGTTAATTCAGCATTCGAAAAGTGAAAGATAATTGATGGCTCATTTGCATATTGTTTCCGTGGTGAAATCAATCGATTCTTTATACGAATTTGGTAATCTGTATTTGCAAACACTATCGTCTGCTCTCATTTCATCTCTACACCACTAATTTGCTTTTTTATTCATCACTAGAAACGATTCTAAAACAATAGATGATATTAAAGCTCTTTTGCTGATCTTATGGACTTTAAATTTTGGGAACTCGTTAGATAAAGTAAACGAATTTGTGAGTGATGTCATTCGATATTGGTGATTGTTCTTATTAAAATTCCTGCTCTTGAAAATTTGTAGGATGTTTCACTGGAAATGCATTTGCTTAAATCACATATCTCTAATTTTTTCAAATAAGATTTATGTTGGTATTTTTCCAACTTAGATTTTTTCCTTTTTTTTGTAGTTCCTACTTATCTAGCTCGAGCATCATTTATTTTTGGAAAAAAATTTTTGATTTTTTATCTGTTTTTATTTAGCACCGGTATCGTTAATTTGTGCCGTGTATTCATTAAGTGACAGATGAAAATTTAGTCAAGTTCATATGCAACTTCCCTGTGGTAAAATTAAATTTTTTTGGTATGTGCATCTCGTAGGGTTTTGGTGGAGAACTGCTTTTGTACTTCATTCCATACGTTTTCATGATAGTTATTATTTTATATAAAGGTACGAAATATACTGTGGATAAAATTAAGAAAATTAGTACTTTCCCAATCATTAAGTTTCTGATTCAGAACCGTAGTATTTGAATGTTCTTAATACTATTTTGCGGAATTCGAAAGCTTTCACATTCATATTTTATCTTCTATGTGCGGTGTACATGCATATAAATTATTTTCATTTGTCTATGTATAATATAATCTATAATGCATAACCTTGGTCCTGTTTATTTTAAAAAGGGAAGGACTCGTCAAATTTTATTCGGATGCATAGAATGCCGTTCATTAAATTTTTGTTAATGAAACTTTCATTTTCCGCATCCGCAGTGATACTCTATGGTTTTTCTAATTTGTTTTACGATATTGGCTGATAGAATTCCAATGAACCCAAGAATCTTTATGTAAAGGATAGCTACGTTCATTACAACGGATTATCAATTTTTAATTATGGGCTTCGCGAATAAGCGATCTAATTTTGTCTCGCATCCTAGTATAATTCTGAAGACCTTAGAGTTGCTTTGGTTTTATGTGCCACAGCGAGCTGTATTTGGAGCGATATTTAATCAGACATGAAACGCAATATTAGGACATAAGATGGTGAAAACTAGATCGATAGTGTATATCATCTTTTTATGTAATTCATGTCATTTCGCCTGGAGTGAGTGATTTGCTTTCGAACAGTGTGGTTCTTGCTGCAACGGAATGCGTCACTTCTAAAGGCATTTCCCACGACTTTTCGAGAACCTTAAATACTCTTTTAAAACTAGAAGTTTACCAGGAGCACTGATTTAGATTGCATGGAGTATCTCGTTAGAATTTTTTCATGAAAGTATGATGACCTTTAAACGAGATCCAGTTGGATGAAAGCTTATAATCTTGGAGTCTATTCGTGATTCTTTCTATGAAGATGTTGAAATCAGCGTGTCCTGAAGTTTTTGAAAGTCCTCGACAAACCACAGTTTTTGCTCGTCGCTCTACCCCAGCATTTTCTGATTTTAGAAGTCTTGACGCAGTGATTCGAGATAAATTATAAAGTAGCTCAATAATTCAAACTTCTAATCCGTGTTTCATGTCTCAGTATGTTTTAGTGTACATCCTAAACCATAAAAGTTTCTTGTGTCCGCGAGAGAACCACTACCAAAAAAATGAAGTCCGTAAGATAGCGATCAAGGAGCTAGATGTGTTGATGCTGAGTACAAAGAAGTGGAGTAAGCGAAAAGTTTTGTACGACATTTATATACAATGATATAAATAATAAATCACAATTTTTTAATTGGCATGAATTAGATAGAGGAGGGAACGCATGTGGCTTGAAGTGTTAACACATAAATTATATCGATTTATAATATGTCATTAACAGTGTGACTATTTTTCGACCAGTAAAGCAGCCGCGTGTTTACATATCGCTTTTTTATCCTTAATTACTTTTACTACATAAACGCCTTCATCGTCAGGTTCGACACTCTGAAATTTCAAAGGAAAATGTGGTAAGTTTGATTTTTCATTCTTTTTTCCCTGATTTTCGAGTTTTTTCTTCTTAACAAAGCAGTATAAATTTTTCAAATAAAGAAGGGGTTTAGCATGTATCAAATTTAACCTTGAAATCTAATTTGAAAGCATTTCCAGATTTAACTGATCTGATACGATCGGACTTCTCTACTTTATTGGATCCTTTGAACCACTGCACTGTCAAACCTTCCGCGTTTTCCATTTCAAGAACGAATTTACAGTGCGTTAAAGATTTGGCCGTTACAGATTGTGGAAGCTTGCAAATAAGGGGTTCATTTTGTTTATCTGAAGTAGAATTAAAGCAAACTTCATTAAGTCTGTAAAAATCAATAAAATATGTAATAGAAAAACTTCAAGCAACATTCCAATTTGTAATCAAAATATTACCAAGCACAACAAGTGACGCAGCTGACGTAAATGTTTTGCCATCGCAAGAAAGGTTGACTTGGTAAATGCCGTGATCGTCAAGCGATACTTTAGAGAATTCAAGTTGATACTCATTGTCGTTCACTCGTGTTGTCACATTTTCACTTGACTGGATTTCTTTGCCATTTTTAAGCCATATTACCTAAATTTTGAAACAATCAAATGTTATTCCTCAACGTAAATTTCTCTCAATATAAATCCAGAATATATTTATATATATATATATCGGTTAAATTGAAATTTTCCAAGTAGCATACCTCATCTGCAGTTCCGGAAGATAATAATGAGAAGGCGGTTGTTGAGCCAGAAGCAACTTGAACCCCTCCAAGATGTCGAATTATCCGAAATTCACCATCTTCTTTTGAGATTTTTTCACTCATGTTGGTCATCACATCACCGTTTAGGATGGTCTGGTTAGCTATTTCGTTCTGTTCTGCAGCATCACTTGTCAATTCACCATTTCTTAGTGGTTCATCAACAGCGTCACCTACTCTCGTAGCGCTCCTAAACAAAAATTATTTCTAGTTTAGAGTGGTACAACATCAAATCCTGCCTCATTTTTCATACAAATTTGTACCTTCAATAGATTTCCATCTCTATCTGCACCTTCCACGTACCCATCATGGAAAAGAAATGCTATCCTAAACTCTGCAATTTATCCTTGAATCCTTGAAATTACCGAGGAACTGGAGGTTATTCAAAACTTACTTTTTAACTACAAGATCTGCTTTACTTGTTTCCGAGCCTGCTGAATTACTAGCTTTACAACAGTACTCTCCTGCGTCTTGTTTATCAATGTTTCTGATTGTTAGTGAAGCTCGACCCGTGACGAAAGAAATGTTTAGACGAGAATCACCAGTGGTGATACGTTCACCGTTGTGGAGCCATTCGATAAGTGGTTCTGGATATCCCGTTATCTGTAAAAGCCCCTTGTCAATATTTTAAAGGATTTTCTTAATTTTTGAAATTTAAATAAAGCAACACTTGCCGCACACGAAAATTCAGCTTGTTCACCCTCGTTTACTATAATACTCGACAATTTTGACTCAAAAGTAGGTAGTTTATCATCAAGTTTTGCAGTTGAATCATCCCGGGATTGTGCTATTGACGGCTTTATAATATGCCGTGGCAAAACATCAGCACTGGACTGTGAGCGTTCGATACTTCCTGCACTGAGAGTATCATAAATCCGTCTTGTACGAAGTGGTTTTACCGGCACTGATTCGCCGCTTCTACCTTGAAAAAAACAAATCTTTTGCGAAATGAAAAAATTTAAATACTTCAAAATTCTCAAATATTTAAGTATTAATCATTTAAAATGGAAACAATTTCTCAAAAGTTTAAGACTAGTTGTATTGATATTGTAAGGGAAACTGTTGAATTAATTTATATGTTTATGGGTGGATCGATCGAATATTATACCGTCAGACTTAATGAATTCTTATATTCGAATATCAGTTAGAAACATAGCTTTCACCTTGCACATTGACAGTACATTCGGTATAATCTGTTCCCAAACTATTAGTCGCCTCACAACGATAATTACCCGCATCCTCCATGCGAGAACTGAATAATTCCATTGTACAAACACCACTTCGATAGGTTAAATGTGTTCTGTTCATATCAATTGGTACACCATCTTTGAACCATTCAACCTATATAGAAATAAATACTCAGATTTAAAACGAAGAAATGGATTTTGGAATTCGAAATTCGTTTTCAGCCTTGTAATTTTACAATGACTATCATCTAATACTATTTTAAGAAAATTGTATGTTAATATCCATTGCAAATCATTAAAAAAAAATTATTGAACAAAATTACCTTAGGAATTGGATCTCCTTGTACATTGCAAATCAGTTTACATGGATGATTTTTCTGAATGAGACGTGATCGAAGATGAAAAGTGAATTTTGGAGCACTCTGCTGTTTTTTAAATAGTTCGGGTTCTCGCATAACATAGACTCGTTTCTCAACTTCAGCGGCTTTCAAAGTCCTTTGACTTCTAGCTGATTCTAAAAATTATGCCTTTGGTTTCAAAACTTGTAATAAAAATTAATATATCTGACTTTTAAAACAAATTCTGCACACCATTATTGCTTGAAATGGGTAAAAATTTAAGTGAACAGAAAGTTCTAAAGCTGCTTGCTGAGTTCAAATTCAAAATTTTCAGTTTAAACTAACCAATCACTTTCAAGAATGCAACTTCTTCTTTGGAACCATATGAATTCTTTGCCCTTACAGTATATTCACCAGCATCTTCTGGTTTAACCCTATTTATCGTTATCATATAATTATTATCTATGTATTTCTTCATATATTTGGTACTCTGCCTTAGTTCATCCGCATCTTTATGCCATGTAACTATCGGTGGTGACGAAGCAATAATTCTGCAATAGTTTTTTAACTTATAAAGAATTTTGAGTTTCAGATGAAAGTTCGAAATTAAATTTACACCAGTTCGAATAGAGAACTGTCGTGATACCTGCATGAGAATGTAGCATTTCCACCTTCATCACAACTCGTATTGAATGGTTTAACGATGAATCGTGGCTGGCCTTCTTCTCTACTGAACCATGTATCATGAATATGATATTCTCCTGGACGATGCTTTTTAAGAGAGCTGTAGTTCGAAATGCGCCCGAGAGGTGGATTTGGTTCTAGCCAAGAGTCCTGATGTTAATTTAATCATAACAAAATGTTCGAATTTTTTCTCAAATTAAATGTTGACTGGAAATGCAGATTAGATGTGATAAATTTTCTAATACTTACATATTTCTGTCTAATGGAGTCACGAATGGAGTGATAGCGTTCATTGGGTATTTGTTGAGACGACTCTTTGTTGGTAACTCCACTGAGCCAAGGATGTTCCAGGGCTTCATGTACAGTCATCCGACCTCTGCAGTTAATTCATACATTGATTAAATGAGGCAATTTTTTAGGAGGAGTTAGTTACTTATCTCAACTTCAAGTGTGAGATTACTTTGGATCGAGCATTAGAAGTTTCTTAATGAAATCTTTTCCATCCTGAGAAATATTTCTAAAACTAGAATCATCCATATTCCAGTCACATTTCTTTACATTCCGGATTGTTTCTTCATCAGTTTCTCCACCGAATGGTGAAAGACCGGATAAGCTGAAATTTCCAAAATTTTTATGCGGCACATTTCGATTAAAGTATTAATCAACGTACAAGTAAGAGATGTGTGTATAATTAATTACTTGATAAGAGATATCAGAATTGTGCAGTATCAAAAAAGTTTAGTGATGTTCAAACAATTAAGATCAATGTCTAATTCTATTTTCACCATATTCTCTAATCGGAATGTGGTTTAATGATAGTTAGCGTTCCAGATGTAATTAAAATCAGTTAGCTTGGAAAAAACTTACAGGATATAAGTAAGTACACCAACGCTCCACATATCGGTATAAAATCCCACGGGTTCACTAGCAACTACTTCCGGTGCCGCAAATTCTGCTGTACCAGTTGTCACTTTTACAGATTCTTTGGGATCTAGTTTTGCTGCTAGACCGAAATCGATTAACTTTAACTGATCGCTTTTCTTTGTCATGAACATGATATTTTCAGGCTTCAGATCCAGATGCACATAATTCATTTCATGCATGTGACATAACGCTTCACACACCTGTCGGATGTAACCGATTGCATCCGTTTCCGACATTCGATTCTTTTCATCGGAAACTTTCTCAAACAACTCACCGCCCGACATACTGCAAAAAAATTCTGTCTTAACAAATTACGAATCTTTTCCAGAAATATTTCGAAACTGAAGAAACTTACAACTCATAAATCATGACCATTTCTTTATCATCTTCGAAAGCATCATGCAGATTTATCAATTTTGGATGTCTAAGGACAGACATGGTATTAATTTCCTTCCGCACTGTATCCTTATCCGCCTCATGAGGTGTATTAACAAATTTTGCAGCAAACGTATTACCAGTAGCTTTTTCAACACAACGGTGCACAGAGCCGAATGCACCTCTGGAAAATATTTAAATTTTTGTAAAAAAAGCTTTGTAAATACATCGAAAAAAATCGAAAAAAACTTCGTTTCTGAAGTTTTACACTTCTTCTGGAAGGAATTTTTCCAGAACTTAGCCGATGGAATTACTTGAATAACACAAAAAGGAAACTTACGACCCAATTTCTTCAAGAATGTCGTAATAATCGTACACCGATTCTCGTTTTGGTTCTACCGATTGTGGATAGTATTGTTTCCAAACATCAATTACATAGGCATCATAATTATTAGATGTTGCTCCTTTTCCATGGATAATCTTGCCCAAATCATCAACTATACAAATTTTAAATATATAAACTTCAATTGAGATTTTATTTGAAATTTCTAAATAAATCAAATTTAACACAAATTTACAGCCAAAACATCCCGCTTACCATCATAATTTTTTTTTCGAACACGTTGCTCAGGAATAACAATAGGAGCAGTTGGTTCACACGGTTTTGATTGTCCGTATTTGTTTTCGGCGATGACACGGAATTCATAAGTATGCTTAGGTTTCAGACCTTCTATTGTCAGATAAGTATAGCGTGATTTGGCACATTGTTCCCATTGTCCGCCAGTTGCTTCACGTCGCTCAACAATATAGCTAGAGAGATTTAAATTAAATCAAGTTTCTTGAAAACTGTTCTTAAAACCTATTTCGTTATTGATCCAGTGAAATAGTCCATTTTATTTCAGTTGAATTTAAGGGTTCCAAAAATATACTTGGTGATCATAGCGCCTCCATCCAATTCCGGAGTTTTCCATGACAAAATAGCGGCTTCATCCAGAACATTTTCAACAATAGGAAATCGTGGCGGATCGGGTCCATCAGCCACAGTTAAGCTTATAGTAGCAGAATCTGAACCAATATTGTTCTCTACTACAATTCGGTACTGTCCAAAATCTTCTCGTGTACCATTTGAGATTGTCAAAGTTGTAAACCTAAAAAATTATTATTCGGAGTTTTATTAATCAAGCATAAACTATAAACCTAAATTTTAATCATATTTGATTTTCTTAAAAGTTTAAAGCAATTAATAAAGAGTTTAACATTTACTTGTCATCGGTAGCAATCTTGTATTTATCGGAATCGCTGATCAATTCAGCATTTTTGAACCATTTTGCTTTAGGTTGTGGAAATGCTTTGAATGGCAATTTCAACTCAATATTTTCATTCTTTTTTGCTTCATAACCTCCATGATACTGCGGTGGAAGGAATACACGGGGCTTAGAACAAACAATTATTTGTGCTTGCGTTGATTTGGTGCCATTGGAGTTCGTTGCACGGCAAGAGTACTCGTCAGCATCATCCGCATGCAAATCATTAATGGCCAATGTCTGGAAAAATGCACCTTATAGAGAAAGATCATACCATAAATATCATAAGAGTCTTTAATAATCTCGAAGAAACGTATAGGATTCTAAATTTCAGCTAATCATTCAATATTTTATTACTTTTCACAAGTTCGACTTATAACCACATCACACCTGTGTGTCACCCTTACTATAGATGATATATTTGGAAGTTTCAGTAAGCTCTCGTAGACCTCTGTACCAACGATATTCTGGTTGTGGATTGCCAGTTATCACACATTCTAAAGTGACCGATCGTCCTTGCTCACCATATAGATCGGTAAGAGGAGTAATAATGGTTGGTGCTTGACCAGACGGCAAATGAACGTATTTGATAACATCACTGAAAAAATAGGTTCTAAAACTTGAAAGTAGAAATAATTTCCGAACGAATTATTTTTTTCAACCTATTAACTCACTTTTTAAAAAATATTTGTAATTTAAAACTAAATTTTAACCGATTCGTGGGTCGACTTATTTGCAGTAGATCCAAAAATACCTCATGGATGGCTCGGAATTCCCAGCATCATTAACAGCAAATACACGAAATTCATAATCACGATTTTCGATCAAATTGTTCACGAAACAGGAAGTAGATGGATTTGGAATATAGTTACACTTTTGCCAAATATCTGTACCAACTTCCTTCTTTTCAATCAAATAACCACGGATACGGCCACCTCCGTTGGAATTTGGACGAGCCCAGTTCAACGTCAGAGAATCTTCGCTTATGTTTGTGCTCTAAAATATATTCCATTCATTGTCTTCAACACACAAATTAAAAAAAAAGGAAGAAATGATTCAGGAAATATCATGAATTATAAAATTGTAAAAGGGTATTAAACTTGAAATTAATTAGTTTTTCGGGGAAACTTACCTCAGGTTTTCCAGGAGGTGATGGAGGATCGAATGGTAGTCGTGCAACAATTGATTGGTCACCATCGAGGGGTGGACCTTGCCCATTTTCGTTTACAGCACTAACTCTGAACTCATATTCGTGTCCCTCGAAGAGGTCACTAACCAAATAGTTAGTATCTTTTATAAATGCTGCTAGTTCAGTCCATTCATCCTTTGTTAGGTCACGTTTTTCGATAACATAATTGCTTATACGTGCACCACCATCACTCTAAAAAATTTTTCAAATCCAGTTGAACCTTGACGAGTATTACAGAAAGTAATCTGGGAAAAAGAATTCAGAGAAAAACTAACCACCGGAGGCTTCCAGCTAAGTAACACTTGAGACACGTTCAAGTCTGAAAATAGCAATGGTCCTTGCGGTGCTGATGGTAGCCCGGTGACATTTAGCCAGAAACCAGTGTTCGCTTCACCGCTGTCGTTGCTTATTGTCAACTCATAACGACCAGTCTCACTACTATGGATCGATGGAATAGTAATGATAATGTGATTATCAAAATCTACGAAATGGATATTGGGATGATCCGCAGGTATTTCTTTTTTATTCAGAGTAAATGTATAATGAAATGGACCAGTGCCGGAGAAATAAATCTTCAGGCGTACTAATTCACCATCAGCATATACGGCATTAGGTACAGCTTTTTCGATTACAGGTGGCGCTGAAATTTAACTTTAAGGTTAAAATTCTGCAAATTTCTAAGCAGTAATGAGAAGTAGCTCAAAAACTTCAAACCTTGAACAATTAGTGTTGCGGTAGCAGAATCAGAACCATAAATATTTGACACTTCACAGGTATATTCACCAGAATCAATATCCCATACTTCTTTAATAATTAGTTTGAAAACTTCGTCCTGTGCCTCAATGCGATAACGTGCACCCTCTGGTATTTCACGTCCATTACGCAACCAACGCGCGGTTGGTGCTAAAAAAATCATTCTTGCTATGGAGTTTTAAAGCCTTTTTTCAGAAAAAATTTCAAGATTTTAATCTTTGGAATTAAAACTTATTAATTAAGACTAAATCACCTGGTCTTCCGACAGCTTCGCATGTAAATACTGCACGTCGATTATAAGGCGAAGTTGTGTCCGCTGGTTTGACAACAATCATAGGCTTAGAACCACCCATTTCCTGGATTTTGATTGGTGACGAAGGTAACGAGGGTAAACCTTTTCCATATCTATTGATAGCCATAATACGGAACTCATAGTCATGAAATTCTATTAGATTAGGAACGGTGAATTCAGGCTGTTGCACATTGTAGTCGCTAACAACTCTCCAGCTTTGGACACCAAGTTCTCGGCTTTCAACAATGTATCCAGTTATCTTGGAACCACCATCATCAACTGGTGGAGACCAAGTAAGCGTTACGTGATTTCGTCCTATTGATTCCGCGGCTATCTGGGTCGGTGGGCCAGGTGGACCAAATTTGACTTTAAGTTGTACTTTCTCTGACGGCAGTGATGGTTTTGACAAACCAGCTTTATTTTTAGCGATAATACGAAATTCATATTCACCCTTATCCTTTAAATTCTGGATTCGGAAACTAGTATCTTCTATTGGGCGGGCACTAGCATTTATCCATTTGCTAGATGCTGGTTCCTTATACTGCAATATATATCCGAGAATCTTTGAACCTCCATCTGATGATGGTGGTTCCCACTCCATTTCAGCCCAGGTGCTGTCCATATCACGAACAGTAGGTGGATCTGGTTGTGATGGTACTTTAAATTGATAACGAGCTACAATTGGCTCATTCAGTGCATTTGGTTCGGATATACCATATTGATTCTCCGCTCGAACTCGGAATTTGTAGCTCTCGTTTTCATTAAGACCAGTTACTACGTAATTAGTACCACGTATGAACGAACTAATTTTCTCCCACGCATCATCTGATGGCGTATTAACGCGGCACTTCTCCAAGATGTAATTTGTGATATGAGAGCCTCCATCATCATCCGGCGGTTCCCAATCCAGAACGCAAGAATCCGGTGTGATATCGGAAACCATAAGACTCTTTGGTGGTGATGGACTATCGACAACCAATAATCTGACATTAATGCTGTCCGATCCAGCATCGTTTTCCAGCTGAAAATAGATTTTTTTTCTCATAACATGACCTTTTTCCTCATTTCTTGATTTGAGAATACCTTTTAATTGGTTTTTGTATAGCTTGAATTCAAATTATTTATCTATAGTTTCTTTCCATAATTGGAATCACCTTTATTATCATGCTATTCCATTTCAAAAATGTACTTTTGCATAGCCTCTGCAAATTATGCTATACCACTTTTTAATTATGCGCAAAACCCTAATATTGCGCTATCTGCATTCACGACTTCAAAATTTAGACAGAAAAATTCGTCAAGTGGTATCAAAGGTCGATCCCTCCTTTGCAACTTTGATGTACTGGACAAAATAATGATAGAAAGCGAGAAAGAGGATTTCTTTCCTATTTTAAAAATCTTTAATGTTTAAACAATCTCATTCTTTCAAAAGATTGAAAATTTGAAACATTTTGTAACTAATGCGAAACTACCTTGACAGTATAGGTAGCCGTATCGTTGCGTTCGCATTTTTCATATGAAAGTTGTGTCAAGAAATCATTCGACTCAAGTTTTAAACGCTTTGACGTCTCATCAATTGATTTACCATCTTTTTTCCAGGTTATTTCTGGAGATGGACTGGACGAGAATGGCACCAAAATCTACAAGTTTATTTTTTTATTTCAAAAAGCTGGAAGATGTGATCAATTGAACATACCTCCGAAATTTTGTTAATTTTTTGTCAGTAAATAACATGAAAATTATTCTGTTGACCTACCTTTGCTGTGGATCCAACGTGAGCAATAATGTCTCTGCCAAGTAAAGCAAGCTGAATCCTTGGTTTTATAGCTTCCATCTGAGCCGTAATTCGTTCGCTGTTTTGGCTCCATGGACTTTGGCCAACTCCATTTACTGCCGATACACGAAATTCATAACGCTTAAGTGGCGTTAAACCAGTAACCTAGAAAAAAAACTCTACGCGTAATTTGATAGCGGATATGATGATTTTTAGCTATCTTTTTTTCTAATAAATTAGTTCGTAAGATATACTCTTAAGGTGATTTTTACACAAATTTATAAACTATTATGACCCTTACTCGGTATTCCGTATCGTTGATAAGACCAAAAGTGCATTTTGACCAATCATCACCATCTTCACGCTTTTCCAACACATAACCTTGTATTGGAGAACCACCATTCTTCAACGGCTGAGTCCACTGCAACGTAATTGTATCCTTAGATGTTGCAATAGCTTCTGGTCGCCCAGGAGCGTCAGGTTTATCTAAAAAATAGCCAGATTCATACGTTTACAATGAGCCAAAAAATAAGAAGTAAACATTTTCGAGTTAAGAAAAAAACTTGCTGTCAAGAAAATTGAAGTTTTAAAAGAATAATTGAACACTTACTAAATGGATCTTTTGCAATAATTGGTTCCGTTGTTTCAAGTGGTTCACCAATTCCGTATTGATTTTCAGCCGAAACTCGAAATTCATACGGGTGGCCGTTTTCCAAGTTGCGTACTCGAAAACTGGTACCAACTGGTTGACCAACTTTGGTCCACGTACCGTCCGGTTCACGTTTTTCCACCACATAATTGCTTATACCAGCACCACCATCATCAAGTGGTGGACTCCAGTGAAGTGTTATTCCATCACCGGCAATTTCACTTGGTGCTATTGGACCAACGGGTTTGCCTGGTGGTGATAGCACGTTAACGTTCAGTTTTGCGGTATCCTTACCGTAACGATTACTTAATGTTATACGGTACGGTCCGGCATCTGATCTTTTCGCTGATTTCGTCGTCAAGGTCACAAAACCATCGCTTACCTAAATTTCAAACTATTTAAATTATTCTTTCTCCTTTCAACAAACAATGATTGAAAATTTTTTTTTAATTAAAAGACTTTTCTCTAATCTTGATTTTCTCTAATCTTTTCTCTAATCACTTTTGATAAATTCAATTAACATTATTAAAATCTGAAAAATTTTTATCTAAAAAGAATGTTAAAAAGGTCACTTCAATATTAATGCGATCATCTCCGCTAAATATTTCTTTCATGCCATTGAAGGCAGTTGCCATTGGTTTCGGATTACCACCAACGAAAGGGATTTTGATTTCAAAGTTATCTCCAGCTTTGACGGTGATATCCTTAACACCAGATAGATCCAAACATGGACGACCTGGTTGCTCTTCAATATGCACCATATCAGTTGGCCTCGACGGTTTACTTTTTCCAGCTGAATTAATCGCCTTCACGCGGAATTCATATTCTTCGTTCTCATCCAGCGGTTCCACAACCAGGCAAGTGTTTTTGACAGGTCTATCGTTGCATGGTATCCAATCTCCAATACCAAGTTTCCTTTTCTCAAGAATATAACCTTCGATTGGAGCTCCACCATCTTTTAAAGGACGATTCCAGGTCAATTCTGCGGAATTCTTTGTTATTTTACCCACTCGTGGTTGATCTGGGGCATCAGGTGGAATAATGAACGGACGACATACGGTGGGTTCAGAATTACCGCTTGGTTCACCTTCACCAGCCAAATTAACGGCTCGAATCCGAAACTGGTAAGTTTCTCCTTCCATTAAACCAGTTACAGTAGCTTCGGTATTTTTAATCAAGCGCATCTTAACGGGTGTCCAATCATTGCCACCTTCCTCAAATTTCTCGATTACATAACTTAGGATTGGTGATCCACCATCGTTATGTGGTGGATTCCATGATAAGCTTATCTGATTGCGACCATATCCCATTATTTCGGGAGAGGAGGGTGGTCCAGGTGGATCAAATGGATCTTTTGCAATCACTGGTGCACCTACTAGTGGTTCACTCAATCCCATTACATTTTCGGCACGTATACGAAAGCGATATTGTTTTCCGTGATCCAGTCCACGAACGGTGTGTATAGTACTACTAATAGCCTCGATGACACGAACCCAATTAGACGTATCTGCTTCTTGGTACTCGATGCGATAACCAGTAACCTCAGAACCACCATCATCTTCGGGTGGACGCCATTTCAAAGTCACGGAATGACGCGACGTTTCCAGATAAGTCAATGGACCTTCTGGAGGTCCTGGTCGATCGACTACGGAAATCTTAATTGTTGCTTCTGTCTCACCATATGAATTCGATGCAGTAATAGTGCATTCACCAGAGTCCGAACGTTTGCTTTCATTGATATAAAGACGTGTTTTCGAGTCGTCTGTTTCCACGTTACTGAGCGTTTGACAGTTTTTCACCCAATTAATATCAGGCTTTGGTGATGCTGTATATGGAATATTGATATCCAGTGGTTCTCCAGCACGAACCCGGAATTCCTTGCCATGAATGTTGATATCAAACACCGGAGCTTGAAACATCGGTTTTGCAGTGGCTGCAGCCGAAGGATCCGACGGTGAACCCTGACCAGCTTTGTTCACTGCTCGGACTCGGTATTCGTAAGTATGACCTTCTTGGACACGATCATCCACAAAACTGGTATCTTTCACTGGCGCATTATTTATCTTAATCCAACGGCCGTTCTTCAAGTCTTTACGCTCCACGTCGTAATGTAATATCGGATTGCCACCATTATCGTTAGTTGGCTCCCATTCGATATCTATATGATCCACATCATGATTGGTAACGATTGGTCGGCCAGGTTTACCCGGATTGTCAAAAGGATCTTTGGCAAGCAGAGATGAGTCGCTATTCAACGGATCCGACCGTCCATTTGCGTTTTCGGCCATAATTCGGAATTCGTATTGGTGTCCCTCGGTAAGTTTTGACACTACAGCTGTGGTACCAGGAACAAAATCTGACACCGGTGTCCAAGTATTCGATCGTAGATCACGCTTCTCGACTACATAATTGGTGATTTCCGAACCACCATCATCTTCCGGTGGTTGCCAGTTAAGGACACAGCCCTCTTTAGTAACATTAGTTACTTCTATCGGTCCTTGTGGTGTTGACGGTTTATCTTGGACAATGATCTCAAATAAACCAGAAGTTTCCCCAACTTCATTTTTCAGTTTTAATGTATAATTTCCACCTTCAGATCGTTTAGCAGATGGTATAAAAAAACTTGTTGTACTTGTCAACAAGCCATTCTTACCACTTAACAAAAGGTTTTCAGCTAATGGTTCACCTTTCTTGAATTCCCAAGTTACCGACGGATTCGGAGAACCAATATATTCCGCTTCTACTGTCAGTGATAAACCTGCTTTGACTTTAAATTTTCGTATTTGAGAGATAATTTCGGGCCTCACATATTTTGGTCGAGCTATTTGAGTATCTGATGGCTCGGACGGGTCGGATGGACCAATTTCATTTATCGCAATAACTCGGAATTCGTATTCTGACCCAGGTTTTAAACCATTAGCTGAGAATGCTGTGGCATCTCCACTAACTTTTCCTGCCTCAATCCAAACTGGATTACCTTTTTCTTTCTTTTCTACGATGTATTGCTGTATCGGGAGTCCACCAGTATCGGTGGGTGGCTTCCATGTGATGTCAATCCAGTCTTTATCCCAATTAGTGACCTCCGGTTTCGACGTTGGTTGTGGCACATCAAATTGGTTTCTGGCAATCATTTCCTGGCTTTCCAGTGGTTTTGACTCTCCTTGCATATTGACTGCTTTGACACGGAATTTGTACTCTTTTCCATCAATCAATTTTGTTACTTTAGCAGTACAGTTTGGAAAATGGCCTATTTCCTGCCAGCTACCACGAATCGTATCCATTTTCTCGACTACGTAGTGTGTAATGTCGGAGCCACCATCATCGCTTGGAGGTTTCCAAGTCAATATGCATCCTTCTTTCGAGATATCACTGATCTCTGCTGGTCTTTCTGGTGTTCCTGGAACATCCAGAACTGTTACCGTACACGATGCTTTATCTTTGCCGTATTCATTCTCAACCTGAATCATGTAAATGCCAGTGTCACCACGAACTGATGATGGTATCACAATTTCGCTGGTTTTATCTTTCGTAATAATTTCTATCCTATCAGTACCAGTAAGGGGGACGTCGTTAATTTTCCAATATGCCTTTGGTGTTGGTTCACCGTCATAGTCCACTTCGAGGTGGATTGGTGATCCAGCTCGAACTCGGATATCGAAAAGTTCACCTAGATTGATTTTAGGTGCTAGCTTTCTTGGTTTTGCAATCATCTCCCCGGTAGGATCCGAAGGCTCTCCTTTTCCACCTCTGTTAAGAGCTCGCACACGAAATTGATAGATTTCGCCTGGTATCAAATTAGCTGCAGTAGCTTTAGTCATATTTCCTGGAACCGTTACGCATGGGACCCAATCACCAAATTTATCTTTTCTCTCTACAATATAGCTTTCAATTTGTGCGCCGCCGTCATTCATTGGTGCTTTCCACTCCAAGTCGACGTGATCTTTATCCCAGTCCACTGCAGCCAAGTCCGTGGGCTTACCAGGTTCATCAAACGGATTCTTGGCAATTATTGGATAAGTTGAAGTTAAGGGTTGTGATTCTCCTTGACGATTCACAGCTCTTACACGGAATTTGTATTCCTTACCCTCTACAAGTTTATTGACACGCAAACTGGTAGCCGAAGTCTCACCACATGGTATCCAACGACCATTAGCCTCCTGTTTCTCAACGAGGTAATGTGAAATAGGTGAACCACCGTCATCATCAGGTGGATTCCAGTTCACTGTGCAACTTTCCTTCGTGATATCAGTAGCTTCCAAAGGTCCGTTCGGAGTTCCTGGAATATCGAGCACTACAACCTTCACCTCCGCTTCATCTTTACCGTTCTCATTAGTGGCAACAATTTTGTAGATACCAGAGTCACCACGTACCGAATTTATAGTAACCAATTTTGTACGGTAATCTACTGAATTGTCGACTTTTGTGCGTTCAAAGGTTATCAGTGGTAATCCGTTATTGAACCAAGAAATCTTTGGTGGTGGTTCTCCCTCAACCTTCACATTGAATTCGATAGTACCTCCGGTTTTTATGCGGATTTCATTCAAATTAGACCGATCAATCTTTGGAGGTAAATTGCGCGCTTTGGCTACGAAGGTGTGACTTGGATCGGAGGGTGTCGACTCTCCGGCTTTGTTGATTGCTTTTATTCGAAAATGGTAGATTGCACCTTCTTTTAACTGGCCTACCGTTATGGTGGTTTGATCTGCGGGTACCTCTTCCGCATACTCCCAATCACCGTTTGTTGTCTTTTTTTCAATGACATATTTTTCGATCGGGGCACCACCATCATCCGAGGGAGAATTCCACTGCAGATCTACATGATCCTTATCCCAATCAACAATTTCCGGAGTACCTGGCTTTCCTGCAATATCGAATGGATCTTTGGCAATAAGTGGTTGTGTAGTTTCCAGTGGATCTGATTCTCCGTATTTGTTAACTGCTTTAACACGAAATTTATACTCATGCCCAGGAGTTAGATCATCAATTTCCATAGTAGTATTAGCTGCTTCACCCGCAAAAGTCCAGCGTCCAGTTTTCACGTCCTGTTTCTCAACAACGTAATGGCTAATCTCTGCACCGCCGTCATCATCAGGTTCTTTCCAATTGAGGGTACATCCATTTTTGTGAACATTATCCGCTTTGAGCGGACCTTTAGGCTCACCTGGTCGATCATATACAAACACTTTAACTTCAGCAGTATCCATACCATTTTCATTTTCGGCTTTAATTATATAGATGCCAGTATCGGAATGAAGAGCATGTTTCATCACAAATTTGGTCTTATAATCTGGATTCTCAATCTTGACTCTTTCTGATGATTTCAATGGTTCTCCTGCGAACATCCATGTTACCGTTGGAGGTGGTTCACCAGAAACCGGAATATTGAGCTGAAAGTTAGAGCCGGCTCGCACTTTGACTTCTTCGATTGCAGAACGATCAATTTTTGGTGCCAAATGTCGTGGTTTGGCAATTACAGAATGACTTGGATCCGATGGATCTCCCAGACCAGCTTTATTTTTAGCCTTTATCCTGAATTCATATTCGCAACCTTCTTTCAAATTAGATACAGTAGCTGTAAGCTGGTCAGCTGGTATTTCCTTAACTTCTTTCCAAAACGGCGCGAATCTTTCCTTCATTTCAATTATGTAACCTTCAATAGGTGCACCACCATCATTTGTGGGAGGTGTCCAACTCAAATCTACGTGATCTTTATCCCAGTCAGCAATTTCCGGTTTTCCAGTTTTTCCTGAAATAGTAAATCAATTTGATCATTAAACTGCAAAATTAACGAACAAACGATTTGTGCAAGTTTTGATTTCATAAAAAATTCATTTCATATTCTAATTTTTGCAATTGCTTGGCACACTTTCATCCTTCACTTTAAATTTTAAATGCTCAAACATGACAAATAGTGCTAATACTATTTACCTGGTGCATCATATGGATTTTTTGCCAAAATAGTTCCAAAGGTGTCAAGAGGATCAGATTCACCCTCAGCATTAACTGCCGATACTCGAAATTTATATTCATGCCCTTCAACAAGGCCGTCAACAACAGCAGTTGTGTGTCCACCATCCACCTGCAAGATATTATGTAACAACTCAACTGAAGTATGGTTCAATATTCTGCTTGACAGCACAAGCGTTTTTAATATGAATAGTTTGGTTATCATTCTGTTTTCGCTATGCACTTTGTTTCGTTCTATTACCTATCACTTTGATCTTATTCTCTACTGAGACCTATTTTAACGAATCGAAGTTATTAGAAAGGACGATCTAAAGGAAAAAAAGGGACTAAAATTCGAACGAGTTGAAATCAGATAAATGTAATATGCACCTTAATGCATGGAATCCAGTGTCCAGTAGATGTGTCGTATCTTTCTACGACATAATTATCAATCGGTAATCCGCCATCATCTATGGGAGCCTTCCAGTCCAGAGTAACATGATCTGCGTAAATATCTGTTACATTTAATGGACCTTCTGGCACGCTTGGCTTATCTAAAATTTCAGAATAAAGTCAGAACTTCAGTAAAAATTATTTAAAGATTATACAGCAATTTAAGCAAAAATTTTATCGATTCTTATGAACGAGAAATGTGCAGCAAATTTCTTTTTAGCACGCAGTTTTTCATAGCTGCATGGTAAGAAAAAAATCATACCAATGACATTAACTTCCACAGTAGCCTCATCTTCACCATTTGAATTGACAGCATGAATTTTGTATATACCGCTATCACTCCTTTCAGATGCTCGTATTTGCAGCTTGGTCTGATAATCCGAATTGTCGAGCTTGACACGTCCACCATGTTTCATTTCATGTCCATTTGCATTCGTCCAGGTGATTGTTGGTGGCGGTTCCCCCTCAACCGCAACATCGAATGTAACCATTTGTCCTGCTCTCACTTTTATTGGTTTCAATGTACTCCGATCAATTTTTGGTGCCACTAAAAAACTTTCAACAAATTCAACAGCAATTTCCAAGAAAATAAGTGATTGTTGTTTCTTAAATTTGTTTTTAACCTTTGAAATTATTTTGAAATAGAAGAGATATTTTCAACTCGTTGTCAAACAAAATCATAATGTTAGAAAAATTTCTCACAATTTCGCGTTTTTGCAACAACAGCTGAACTTGGATCACTTGGTTCCGACGGTCCACCTTTGTTGACAGCTATTATGCGGAATTCGTACTCTTCACCTTCTGTAAGATTTGGGACGGTAGCTATTGTTGAATCACCGGGTACTGTTAAAGCAGGTTCCCATCTAAAAAGCGTACTACATAATCAACAAACGAATAATATAAGTTGATTCAGAAAGACTAAGAAAAGATAGCTTCAATAATATTTCAACGACTTTCTTATTACATAGTACAATTCTCAAACACTTACCGCCCATATTTGTTTCGTTTTTCGATCAGATATTCTTCGATTGGTGTCCCTCCATCACTTGCTGGCTTAGTCCATTCAAGATCAATATGATCCTTATCCCAATCAGTTGCTACTGGCTTTCCAGGTTTATCCGGTTTATCAAATGGATTTTTGGCATGAATGGAGCTGTCCGTCTCCAGAGGTTCGGAAGAACCTTCAGAATTGACTGCTTTCACACGGAATTGGTAATATCGATCTCTGATGAGGTTTTCAACTTCGAATGATGTATTTTTGGACTTCCCGCATGGTACCCAGACACCATCTTTGGTATCTAGTCTTTCTATTACATACTGAAATTTCAAAATTTCAAAAAAAAAATAGTACAGACAAATCGCATAAAGGCAAATGATTCTCATTGAGAATTTAAAGTATAAGCGAAGATGGAAATCAGAATAAGAATATCAGTACAGCAAATGCCAGTATCAAATTTCGGAGTGTTTTGAAAATTGTATACTTCGATAAAAATTTATACAGGAGACATACATGATCGACGGTTTCGTCACCGTCATCTTCTGGTGGTTGCCAGTTTAAGGTTGCTCGATCCTCAAATACATCTTTGGCTTCCAGAGGGCCGTTTGGTTTTCCAGGCCTTCCTTTTACCTTGATCTCGAATGTAACACTGTCTGAACCACTGTCATTTGTAGCAGTTATGGTGTAAGATCCAGACTGCTTCCTTAAAAAATGATTATAATCAACCTATTTTGAAAAATTTGGAAAATTTTTTGATTTAAAAACTAATTTCGAAAATTTCAAAAAAAGTTTCTAGCTTTATCCATTTTTCAATAAAATCTGAGTCATCTACCTGATTGCTTTCGTTAAAGTAAACTTGGTAATATAATTCTCATTTTCAATAACAACATTTGAATCAACTGGTCCTCCATTGAAACTCCAAGTAACTTTGGGCGGTGGTTCTCCATCAATGTGGATGATGAGTCGCAAGGGTTGCTCCACCTTGACTGTTATATCTTCCACATCCTCACGATGAATATGAGGCGCCACTGCAAAAAGTTTACAGGAATTCCAACAATTTTTAATTTTTCTTTTAAAAATTTTTCTACAAGAATTTTATCAAATGGAAATATAATTTGTCATCACAAACTACTGTACGCTCTCCACTGTCACTGTTTGAGACAAAATTTTCAAAGAAATTAAAAAATAAATCAGCTATAAAACAAATTAAAATTTTAAAGAGAATTTCTATTTTGGAACAGCTAGTGGTAACAAAAATGATTGAAAACATATGACTTACAATGTTTGGGCTTCATGATGATGTGATCGCTAGGATTGGATGGTTCACCATAACCAGCTTTATTTTTGGCAATGATACGGAATTGATATTCCTCACCTTCCTTCAAATCCCCAACTCGAGCAGATGTTTCCGAGCCAGGGATCTAGAATCCAAATATAATTCAAGTGTGCCATGCGCTAAGTAAAGAAGTTTCCCTCAAAATAAATGTTACAGATCGGATCAACAAATTCTTACTCTCGTTGTTTCTGTCCACTTTCCATGTTTATCTTTTATTTCCACAACATATTCTTGGATCGGTGAACCACCATCATCTGGAGTTTTCCACTGCAAATCAACATGGTCCTTGTCCCAATCAATTATTTCTGGTTTATCCACTTTTTCTGGAATATCATACGGATTTTTGGCCAAGAATTCACCTCCTTCAGTGGCAAGTGGGTCCGATTCTCCTTCTTTATTGACGGCTCGAACACGAAACTGAAAATTTGACATAACAGCTCCAAAAATATTCAGAAAAAGAGAATGGATTCGCCCATTTATTTTGCATTAAATTCTAATTCAAGTTTCAAATAAATAAAATTAGTCTAACTTGATAAGTTTTGCCTTCCAGCAGATTCTGGACCGTTGCTTTACAATCTTCTGATCGACCGCATGGAACCCACCGACCAGTAGACATATCCATTTTCTCAATTTCATAATGGTCGATTGAAAGACCACCGTCATCTTCTGGTGGCTTCCATTCCAGATTCATATGATCCGCATGAATGTCTGATACTTCTAACGGCCCTAAAAATTTCACTTCTTAAAATCCCTATTTGAAATTTCAGATTTTTGAACGACTTGATATTTCAAAATAAGTAAAATGAAAATTAGATTACCTTCAGGTGGGGAAGGTTTTCCGATAACAGTTACTTCCACAGCATGTTTATCTGTCCCATTAACATTAGACGCAGTTAACATATACTTGCCAGCGTGTTTTCGTGTTGCATTTTTTAGTACACACACGGTTCTGTAATCTTCATTTGTTATCTGAAAGAGAATATTTATGTTGAAAACAATCGAACTTATCATTTGATCAATTTGCTGGACTAATTAAAATATTTTTATTTAAAAGGATTACTTTTTAAGAGCAGTCAATCTGCTTGAACGTTAAAAACGTAAATCTTGAACGTAAATCTTGATATATTTTCTTCGAAATTTTATCTCCAATTCCTGCATATGCTTAGGTTCTATGCTTAGTTCGGTTGAATTTAAAGATACCATAATATGTCCATCGCCTTCAATCAGCTTGTCGTTGAATATCCAAACTTTTTCTGGAGGAGGTTCTCCGCTAACCGGAACATCAAATTCTATGCTTTGGCCTACCTTGATTACGACCGATTTCATTGATTCACGATGGATGTGTGGCTTCACTGAATTCAATAAATTTTCAAAAAATCATTCTCACTTTCAAAAGGCTCACCATGCCTTTAAATTTCGGTTTCACAAACTCTTAAAGCACATTAGGTGGGATTTGAATTTTTGAAGACTTACAGTTGCGAGGTTTCGCTATAACCTTCCTGCTTGGATCTGATGGCTCGCCCATTCCAGCTTTATTGACTGCTCGAATTCGAAATTGATATTCCTCGCCTTCTTTCAGACCCAAAACGCTAGCTTCACATTCAGAGCCATTTGTTCTAGCGCATTCGACCCAGTCTTTAGCATGTTTTTTTCGCTTTTCGATTACATAACCACTTATAGAGTCACCACCATCCTGAAATGTAAGTCTGCGTACTTGACAAATTAAGAAGGACGAATTTCGCTAAAATTAATCGCCTTATTATATATTTCGCTCCAAATCTAAATTGCAATAAAAACTTACATTATCTGGTGGTTTCCAAGCCAGATTTACTTGATCAATATCCCAATCAGTAACTTCTGGAGTTGTTGGTCTTCCTGGTTCATCTGTAAAACTGACAGGAATTGAATAAGAAAAAAAATAACTCGTTTTTTTAAATATGAAAAAATTTCACTGCAATCATTTGAAATTTTCTGTTGTAAAATCTTTCATATTCTTGATTTTGGTCCGTGAAGATCGTGACTCTCTACATCATATATAAAATCACGTAAATCATACCATATGGATTCTTTGCTAAGGTGAAATCCTTTGTCGATAATGGATCACTAGCACCTTCGTGATTCACTGCTTTCACACGGAACTGATAACTATGTCCTTTTCGCAAATCATCGATATGTGCCTCGGTACCCTTCACTTGAGCACATTTAGTCCATTTCCCCACTTCCTCATCAAATTTCTCTACTTCATAATATGCAATAGGTTCACCACCATCATCTTCTGGTGGTTTCCAATCAAGTTTGCATTTATTTTCGAAGACATCTGATATCTGGAAATTGAAAGATTATTCCATATTTCCGAGTTAATTTAGAAATAGAAAAAATAAACTTTATTGCAGGAGTAGAAGGTTTAAGGAGAAGATTTGGAAAAATGTTGTGGCGAAATCGGCTGACGGAAGAATAACGAATAATATATCTCAACAATTTTTTCTAAAATATTCTCCAAACTGGCTTTTATACAAGAAAATTTTAAACCTTTAGGGGACCCTGTGGTAGGCTTGGCTTATCCAATACAGTCAATTCTGCAGCTCCACTTTGTTCACCAGTTGAATTTTTAACATTTAGAGTATATTTACCGCTGTCGGAGCGTTTCGCCGATCGTATACAGAGCAAAGTGTGTTGATGTCTTTTCATTTCAATCTAAAATATCATCAAGAATTTTTTGAAGAATTTGAAATTTTTAAGACCGAGAAAAAATTTCAAATTGTTAAAAAAGGAAAAAAAATTCCAGAAGGCAAAAATTACCTGGAGCGATTCGTTTGGTGCCAATACTTCATCGTTCCTAAGCCACTTAACTTCAGGAGCTGGGTCACCACCAATTTCCACGTCCCATTTAACTGATTGACCTGCCTTTACAGTCAAATTCTTCAAATTATCCATTTTCAACCACGCCGGTACTAAAATTATTTGCGATCTCGAAGTGAAAAAAAAATATTTAGAAGAAAAATTTATTCTGAAATAAAATATAGAGTATAAAAATTTACCGAATTTAAGCTTAGCAACCTGCCTCTCGGAAGGTTTGCTTGGTTGCCCAGGCCCAGCTTTATTAATCGCTTTTACTCGAAATTGGTATTCGTTGCCTTCTTTCAAACCTTTGATTGTTGCATTTGTCGCTGAAAAGGCAAAATTGAACAGGATTAAAAAGTTCCAAAATCACATACTTAATTTTGAAAATTTTCTACTGATGGACCATAAGGTATCTAAGTAATAAAAAGGCACTTGGTGATCTGGCGGTTTCATTCCATTGTTGGGTTACTGGATCTTTCATTTCAATAATATATTCTTCAATTGGTGCACCGCCGTCTTCAGTCGGTGGTTCCCAGACTATATCAATCTTATCAGCATCGTAATCTATAATTTCAGGACAACCTGGTTTACCAGGTTCGTCCCATGGATCTTTTATTTGCACATATTGGTCTGCAGTTAATGGATTTGATTGACCTTCCTTGTTTCTCGCCTTCACTCTGCAATTAAAAAATTAATTTTTTGTAATTTTAATTTTGTAACTTCATAATGATCAACATAACATATGCACTTTTAGTAAAAACGATATTATCTAATATTCATTGAATTTACCGTGAGTCTAATAAAATCTAATAAAAAGAGCCCAATCATAATCATAATAAATCTCTTATAGTTATTAATCACGAGAAGTGAACTTGCTTGTCGTATTATTTTCATATACAGACCTGAATTTATAATTTCCTTTATCCTTCAAGCCATGTACAACTATTTTAGTTTCAGAAGCAGGTGCCGTACCTATCACTACAAATTTTCCTTTCTCGTCCATGTCTTGTGCTTCCACAATATATTCTGAAAAATAATTTAACTGACGATTTCTGTACTTCATTGAGTCCAGCAGTCACTATAAATTTAAGAGTTTTAAACGTTTAAAAAGTAGAAACATACCCTCTAGAGGTTCTCCGCCGTCATCATCCGGAGGTTTCCATGCCAATGTAGCACCGTCACAGCAAACATCTGAGATTTCCAGAGGTCCTTTAGGTTCATCTGGAGGCCCAACAACGGTTACTGTTGCCGTTGAGTCACATTTACCACTGTCATTTTTCAAAGTCAGGGTATATTTTCCAGAGTCAGCTCTTTCGGCTTTTTCTATCTTCAATCAAAATTTTTACCGAAGTCTTGATAATACTGTAATTAAACTTAATAATTTTTAGATATTTACAGGATTTAATATAACATATGAACATTAAATTTGCAAAACCTTCAGAAGATGTTTGCCACGTTCAGTGACCATTTTGCAACGACCTCCATGTTTGATTACTTTGCCGTTTGCTGTCCAGAATGCTTCAGGCATCGGCTCACCAACGATTATCAAATCATATTTAATCTCCTCACCAACTCTTAGTATCAAGTCATGAATACCACCATTTGGAAATGCTGGCGGTTCTGAAAAATCAGCAAGTTATAATTTACAGCTTAATTTTCTACTGTATGAACATGAAAATTATTAAACTTGAGTCAATTTAATTTCCCTTCGAAATTACCTGGCTTAGCAACGATTTTGAAAGCTCGTCCATGGTCGCATGGATCTCCGGGACCAGCCATATTGACTGCACGAACTCGATAATAATATTCATTGTCTTCAATAACTGTGTCATCGACGAGTGTGAACACATTTTTTTCTTCTGATGATGGCACCGTGCCTACTTCACTCCAGCTTTTTCCAGATTTGTCACGCCTTTCTACGATATAATTTTCGACAGGAGAACCACCGTCATTATCAGGAGCTTCCCATTGAAGTGTTAGAGAATCCCTGCTGATATCCCCTGCTGTCATGTTTTTAGGCTTATCAGGAACAACTTAAACAATACGCGGATTATTAACAAATACATGATAGTAATAAAATAGAAATTGTTAAAAATTGTATGAAACAACAGTAGCGAAACCTGGAGTATAAATAGAAAGATTACCGTACGGGTCTTTAGCAATAATTGTTTCACTGGTGAGTGGTTCAGATTGACCGAAATCATTCACTGCTTTCACTCGGAATTTGTATTGCCCGTGTTCTCTCAAACTTTTCACCTCGAAATATTGAAAATTTAATTCTAAGCAAAATTTGCTATAAAAGTAGAAAAAGTTGGTAAGAACAACAATTTTATAACAATAAATTGTAGATCTTTGCCTAGTCGAATCATTTGTTTTTTTATGAATACGCATTTCTTGGTCCCGTTAGCGCAACTGTCTTTATTACGCAAGAAGCTTTAAAGACATTTGTATATTCTGGTCAAAGTTTTACAAACATGTAGATATTCTCGTAACTCTTAATTAAAATTTTACGAAATTCAACAAGCAACCTTAAATTCGGTTTGCTTCGTTTCACCAATTATTGTCCATTTTCCATCATCTTGTTGCATTTCAACAATATACCCTTGTACAGGACAACTATCATCGGCATCAGGTGCATCCCATTTGAGGTCACATCCTTTGGCAGTAACATTTTTGGTTTCAAGCGGTCCTTTTGGTTGTTTAGGTTTATCTTTGACTATTACTTCGAATTGTGCAAGTGCAGTACCACCGGAGTTACTGAGTTCCAGCGCCCATTTATCAGCATCTTCTTTTTTCGGATTCTGAAACTTATGAAACCACAGTAAGTTTTTTGACCCAATTTCCAGAATCTATTCTGTGTTACACAGTAATGAAATATCTTTTTTGAATGCTTATGATTAATGATGATTATAATGCCCTTCAGAATTTATGAAAAACGAGTCAATAACTCTTGAAATGTAAATAATTTTGTTTAAGAAATTAATTGGGTAGTTTTATCATATTGTTAATAGTCGTTTGATTTAATATTTACGTAAATATTCAATGATTAAATATTCCTACTGTAGCATTGAAGAGTTGAAAGATATGAACTTGGAAATGTTGCAAAGGTTTATTTTTTAAAAATCAGACTTAGTTGAACTGTAATAAGATTTACAATGACAATGACAAAATAATTCGCTCAGACAAACAAAATATAAAGCTGATTTGAATTACCTGAATTGGAGATGATCAATTATGCGGTAAGTTTCTAATTAGTTATCAAATAAGCATATTTGTGCAATTTGAAAATCAAACTGAAACAAACTTTGAATTTAATTTCGACAACGTCGTCATTTACTACAACTTCTATAAGATCTTTCATTTTCTCCAGATCCACGGGTTCACCGTTTCGAAGCAGTTTTGGTTTAGGATTGCCTCTTCGACCACCCTTGACAGAGAAAGGAATTTTAATGGTTTCGGGTTTTCCACTTTCCATTTCGATCTGCAAAAGGTTCAAAATTGTTCTTGGACAAAAAAATTATTTAATACTCATATCTCATATGTAAACTAAAAAATGTCTGCCTTATCAACTTTCGATGGTAGTTTATGTGCCTACCATGGTTGTAACGGGTAACGGAGAATAAGGGTTCGACTCCGGAGAGGGAGCCTGAGAAACGGCTACCACATCCAAGGAAGGCAGCAGGCGCGCAAATTACCCACTCTCAGAATGAGGAGGTAGTGACGAAAAATAACGAGACCGTTCTCTTTGAGGCCGGTTATCGGAATGGGTACAATTTAAACCTGTTAATGAGGATCTATGAGAGGGCAAGTCTGGTGCCAGCAGCCGCGGTAATTCCAGCTCTCAAAGTGTATATCGTCATTGCTGCGGTAAAAAGCTCGTAGTTGGATCTGCATCTCATCAACTGGATGAGAACTGGACTCCTAGACTAATATTGCCAGTTTTCCTTACGTTACCTTGATTGGTTGCGTATGGTGGCTAGCAAGTTTACCTTAAAAATCTCATATGTAAACTAAAGTCTAACAAAACCATACTTTTTTAGGCTTCCAATTCATCACTGGTCTTTTTTCAGCTTCTAAAACGGTAACGACACATGAACCTTCCATGCCTCCCACATTGATTTCGTAGATGTCACCTTCCGAAATTTCAATTTTTGAAATCTTAAGAGTGTGTACACCCTGTCTAGAAATGGTTTCAAATTTTCCACCCGGCATCGATGTTATAATTTTTCCATTTTTCGACCATATTCCAGGAGTTTTATTGTCCTAAAAATTGTTAGTAAATAGTTTCCAAATTAAAATTTGATTTTAAAAATTTAAAATGTTGTGCCTGATATCTACAGCAGATTCTGGAAAAAATTACTTTTGTTTCACAGCGTAAATCGACATCTTCTTTTTCGAAAACTTCTATATCAGCTAACGGAACAACAAATTTATTGAGCGCTGCAAAAAATTACAGGTAGGAATATAAAAGAAAATATGTAGGAATATAAAAGAATCATGATTATTTTTAAAATAGGTTACAAAAAAAGAAAACTCAGAAATCCAAGTGGTGATTCATGAATTGAACTAAAAAAAAAAGGAAAAAGATAAATTAATTCAAAAAGAACGATCCATAAGTTGAGGACCTCCAACAATGAGTTGCGCCAATGTCTGGTCATCCTTCGTAGTACACTTATACTCTCCTTGATCTTCCAGTTTAGCGGTATTAATAATCAGTCGACGTTTTCGGTTCTCCGTTTCAGCAATGAATTTTTCTCCATCTATTTTAATTTGAACTCCATCATGCCACCATTCAACATTCGCATCCTTATCATTTACATCACAGACCAGTGTGGTGCTTTCGTTTTCGGTCACTTTCTGTGATTTTAAAGGGATAACGAAGGTTTGTCGTGGCTCTGAAATGAATCCAAGTCATAATATGACAATTTGATTTTGTCAAGAGATGAGAAGGAGATTGAGAACACTCTTCAAAAGTTTAGTGATTTTAATACAAAAGTCTCTTCAAGTTCTGGTGGATTTGAAGTTTTTGCAAAGAAATCAAGGACATTTGGGATATTACTGTTAATTAAAAATGCCTCAGTGAATTTTTCAAAACTAATGTCTAATTATTTATTGTTTATTTAATCCACTCAAAATATTATCAATTATTTATTTATTATCAATCAATTATTTATTTTTTGAAAGCGCAAAAATTGGACGAAATCACCATCTGTTCAGTTTTAATTAATAATAACATTGTCTTAGCATATAGAACATATCATTTCCACTAACATCAATGTTGTTCAATTAACCTGCAAAGCTTCACGAAGCTTTTCATTTAATTTATCTTTGATAAAACTTGCAGGGAAAATTCAAGTTCTAATCCAAGTGCAGTTTATACCTATATTAATGACAAAAGTATTATCGATTGCATGATTGAATTAGCAAATGTAAATTTATACTTTTTTTATTACTGACATATATTATATGAATTTTATTAAAAATTCATATTTATTGTTCGACTGTATAGCAATGGATTATTCCTTTAACTAAATTACTCTACAAATGCGAAAACATGCGAAAACAATTAGGTTATAGAAATGGAACTGCAAAACCTTATAGGAAGAAAAAAAAACTAATTAAAGTAAAGAGCTTGAAACTTGAAAATCTTCCCTTCTCATTTCCTCTACAAGTTCCCGTAAAAGCATTTTTAATTGGTTACAACTTTAATATTTAGTTTCAGAAAATATTGCCAGAATTAGCTAAATCTTTTTTCTGCTTCCAAATCCTATTCCTCCGAAATTCGCGTTAAAACAGCCAGATGTTGTTGCAGACCAAAATTGTATGACAAGAAAAAGAAAAGCTGTGTTAAATTTGCGTTCATTCATGGAAGTTGAAGGAAGTTAACGATGTGAAGGACTGTAGAATTGACCCATTTGAAATGTAATCAAGTTAATTAAACCGAAAGGCAATCCCGTGGATGAGATCAAGAAACATATCTAGATTATATTCCATCGTCACAAAAACAGATCAGATCACCTATGTGAGTGCATTATTGACAATGAAACAAAAAATAAAAGTGAAGAAAGTGTTGTATACTGAAAATTATGGTCTTACGAAAATGCCTTAATAAATTAGCTAACAGGTCAAGGAAGCCTTTCTGATCACATGTTCTGCTCCTATCATTTCTTCTGTCAATCATTTGTAATTTTTTTATCGTTATATTTCATTCTGATTATTCGAAGCTAATGTTAACATTCACATCATTCCATTTTTGCATTAAATTATGCATGTAAGTTTTTAAGTGAACACTCTGATAAGAGCTAGCAGCATTTACAATGTTATCTTACAATTGATAAGATGACCAATTTCGAATGCGCAAACACTAACAGCTATGGTTTACTTTGAAGTACTTACTCTGTTTCTGTTTCATCCAGTATTTCCAAATCTATTACTATTCTTATTTCTATCAGAACAGAAAGATAGTCTCAGTCATATACAAATCAGTCACAATGTGAAATAAACAAAACTATGGATGTAAGCGAGATTTTTCGCAAATTGTAGTAACATTTTAAAACTTTTTTTCAAAATTATATCGTTAGTATTTTAATTTACACTTCGCATATCTTGTAATTTATAGTCTGATAAACTTGATTAAAATTGAATTTAATCGAAATAAATAATGCTTCATTGGTCCTAATATTGACAGATTTCATATTTCAAAAAAAAATCATGTACTAACCTTCAACATAAACTTCTACTTTGCTATAGATTTCATTAGTAATTTTGGCCATCCATTCGCCAGCATCTTCATCGATGACCTCATTAATCGTTAATGTAAAACGACCAATTGCATCGCTCTCGATCAAGAACCGTTTGTCAGAATTCCTGAGAAGAAATCCAACTCCTCGTTTTTCCATTAGAAGTTAAATTCAAAATAAGTTTTCTAATCTCATTGACTAACTGTAATTCTAAATACAATTTATACGAAATCGGGAAAAAAAAAGAACTAACGAAATTGGTTTTCCATTGTGATGCCAAACTAACGGAGCACGTTTATTATTTACTTTACAAGTGAGCACTCCCTGTTTTGTCCTGTATATTTCTTGTGTGTTTGGTAAAGGTGTGATAAAGCTGTATTTCATTGGAGGTTCTGTAAAACTTGAGACAAATTAGATTAAAATTTGGCATAAATCTAATTTAATTCCATATTCTCTGTCTTAGTGCATAAGAAAATTTGATATTGAAATAAAATTTTTGCTGATGTCTGAAAATCATTTACCATCCACAGTAAGAACAGAAGTTGTGCGTAAGCCATTTGCTTCACAGGTATAGTTCCCGCTATCATCAACTTCAGGATTGTTGATAATCAAAGTACAGATTGCTTTTTCCGTTACAATTTTATACTTTAAACCACCCTAAAACATTGTAAAATTAAACAAGAATTTGATACAATTATTAGAGAATATTTCAATATATAGTTTAATATAACATACAATATTTTAAATACTTACGCTGAAAATTTCTTTCATATTTTTGTACCACCGGATTTTAGCATTCGGTCTCGAATAGGTACATTTCAATTCGCAAATTTTATCTACTTGCTGCTGAACAGTTTTATTCTCCAGCGGTTCTTCCCATTTTTCAATCTTTTTACCAGGAAACATCGAATGGCGCCGTTCGATATCTGTCATCGATTTTACTCTTGTCCTTGAAGAAATGCTTCTTTCATCATCTTCATCTCCACCTTCTTCATGCTCCCTTGAAATTATAAATACTTTCAACTGTTTGCCACAAAGATAATGATTTTCAATAGGTTTTGTACAACAACATTATATGTTTGATATTGATGTTAGACCAATTAATAAGCTATCGTCAATTTTAATACATTATTTTTGCTATTCCAAAGCGCATCTTCTACTTCCGAAAAATTCCAACCTGTGTTTCAGCATTGATCTGAAGTCAAGTCCAGCTTCGGAAACGACCAGCAGTTTAACGGTGGCAGAATCTTTGCCGTGTTTATTTTCAATAGTTAATGTATATGGGCCGTCATCGTTCGATCGACATTTCTGCATAATGAGATTTACTGAATTGTCCTGTTGATCCGTAACTATTCTGCATCGACCACCAGAAGGAATCTAAATTCAATAATTATTAGATTCCAAAACTCAGTTCTGATGCCTTCCAAATTAAAAGAAACATGTAGAAATTTCAACCTCACGAAGTCCTTTACTCCATCTGTACGTTGGTACTGGATTGCCTTCGACTTTACACTTCAAAACAGCTGTATCATCTGTAATATAATTTATTACTTCTACTACTGTTTACCGATAAAATAAATTTCGAAACTGTTAAAAAATGTTAAAAATTTAAAACATTCAGAAATCATAAATATTCAAACGCTTTGCGTCTTATACTCTACCACAAAAAACTTTAATATCTTGCAGTAGGACAGAATAACATGCTTTTTCCAACGGTAACATTTTCTGGGATTTCAAGAATCCTTGGTGGACCTTCTGGACCAATATTTCTTAATGGAGTTGAGAGTTTATCCAGAATTTCAGCAGCCAGATTTTCGCGACGCATGTCAACACTACTGCGCCTCTGAAAAGTGGCAAACGATTCTAAGATTGAATAGACAAAAAATCAAACAACTTCATTCTTAAATTCACAAAATTTCTTCAACTTAAGCAAAAGCTTCGCGTGTATTCCACGTCTATTCAAAATTCCTTCAATCCCTCTTTTAATTATTTATGAGCAGCAAATTTCAATCACATTAAAGAGTTCCCTAATAAAACTTGTAATCTTTTTAGACTTGCTTGTTTTTTTGAGCTTGGACAATCAGAGCTTGGACAATATTTAAGACATATATTTTGTGAAGTATTAGGTTATCTCTATTGGAGATTTTTTTTCCGCCACTACATATTCACTGATGCGTACATCTCCCAAGGTATAACCATACAACCATTTTTGTTCAATTCTACTTTCATACAACAATAATAAGTGTAACACTTACCTAATAATATAAAAAAGTTTATTATACAGAAAATTTTAGAAAAACATACTCGACTCGTTTTGATACCACCTGTTGACCTCCTTATGACACTTTGCTCCGCCTGAAAAATTTCAGACAAGTATAAAATTAAAAATTAGAAATAATAGGCACAATTTTATATTGCATTACCACAAGACATGTTGTCAGTCTATTCTAGCTTCCTGAGACAGTTGCAACATTTTCTACATAAGTGGAATGGTTGGAAGTAATATCGTAACAACTCTTTAAAATTATCCAAAAACTAGCAAGAAATTTTTTACTTACTATTGCTGAAGGTCTCTTTTTACAAGCGATTTCGGAAACGGAAGGCAATTCTGAAATGGATTCCGATATTTCATCCCCTGAAGCGTCTCCATCTAAATGCATTGCCATGAGCTCTTTTTTCCGTTCGGGCTCAATTCTTAAGCCAGATTCCGAGGTTTCATCAATCTAAACAGCTTTTTTTTCTTATAACCTTGGTTGTAATGGTAGCTTTTAAATTCAAAACTTCGCATCTCAAAAAAGGTAAAGTCTATTATTCCGAAAAATATGCTAATTTATGAAATCCATGAATGAGTATTACTACAGTAAGATTTTTCAGGCCCCCGTGAAAGCATTATTTGAATAATGATGATTTTAATTAGACTTGGTAATTGGTGATTTCCAAAAATTAATTGGCTATATTTAATTTTAGAAAGACTGAAAAAGTGAGGGCGAATGTGATTCATAAAATCTATTGAAATATGACAAAACATGTTTTGAAGAAATAAAATCTGCGTTGTAGAAGAATTGATATACAATTATATATGTATACTCCAATCTGACTGGAAAACAAATTTTTCACCTCATATAAAACTCCTTTACTTTCACCTAATTTATCAAGTTAACAACTTAGTACTCGAAAATATACTTAAAACAACTTTTTTTTTTTCTTCTGGAGTCATTTTTCCAGATTTAAGACAAAAATTTCTAATAGCTAAATCAAAGGATCAAAAATTTACTTCTCTTTCTTCAGACTCTAATTTCAAATCAGGAGGCTTTGATGGTTTAGATTTTTGATCTTCTTTCTTTTTTCTCTTCACCGGTTCGCTTGATTTTGTAGAATGTTTCTTTTCACTAGGAGTAATCGATGAAATGGATTTTTCTTGTTCAGACTCCGAAAAGAGACTGGATTCCGATTTCAGATTCTTATCTGTGGCTTCTAGTGAACGTTTCGTTATTTTATTTGTTTTTGTTTCTTTTGCTTTTGTAGTTGTAGTAGATTTTGACATTTCATTTATCAATTCTTCAGCTTCACTTTTATCATCTTTAACAGAACTATCTTTTGATATTTTCCGCACTACACTCGCTTTTGCAGCCAAAGTTTCGTCTGCTTTATTGGTTGCCGCAGCCGTAGAAATACTGTCCGTTCTTGTTTTTTCAGTAGCCGCCTCAAGAGTTTCAGGTCTCGGTGACTTAGATTTAGGTCGCGGTGATTTTTGTCGTGATTTTTTTTCTTTTAGTGGAAGCGCTGTCATGCTCTTTCGCTTTGCACTGACTGAAAAAAAAAAGCAAAAATTAAAAGTTAGCCTATTCTGAGAGTTCAAAGCTTCAAAGCTTCATAAAAATTTATTAAAAATTTCCAAAATTAACTTTTTTTCAAAAAACAATTAACATTCGAATTGCATTCGAAATTTTCAGATATTAATATGTATAATAATCCAAAACAGTTTCATTAGAAATCAAAAAATTTATTATTTAGATTAGCTAACTGAAGCTAACTGTCTTATTATACAATATTTGAGTGAAGGATTGATTTCATTGGTAAATAATAACATCTCATAATTTCCTTCTACTAGTCAATGGACGCTTGAATATATAAGGAAAAAAGATAATTACTACTATCACTCTCCACTTGTTCTGTTTTAACTTCCGAAATTTCGGTTGCTGTCGAAGCGTTGGCTTCTGTTTCCTGTGTTGGTGTTACAGTTCTTGACTGTATTGATGTTCTCGGTGATTTCAATGATTTCTTTGGTGTCCCTTCTCGTGATTTCGTTTGTTTCTTAGGTGAGCCTAAATTTTGAATCCTTTTTTTTTAAATTCATCCAGTTTAAGAAATATCTGAATTAATGAAGCACTTTTTTTGCTGTAAAATTAAAAAAAGGAAAATTAAAGTGGATAATCAGATTGCACCTGGCCTTGAGCCTTGTCGAGATGCGGGCCGAGGAGAAGTAGAATCTTTTTCACGATTCTTTTCATATTGCTCCGCTGGTTCTTGCTCAAAGTTTAATGTTAAATTAGCATTTGTTTCACCTAGATCATTCTTGATATTACATCTATATTGTCCAGCATCTTCTGCCACGGGGTTCTGAAACAACTAAGAAAATTAGCTCAACCTGAGCTGTAAAACATTGGTGAAGTTCAGAAAAATATCTTAATTCAAATTTTTAAATATATTAAAAATTTACATGCAATTGCTCCGACCAAATGAAGATTTATATATGAAGATTATGAATTCACGGGATGATTTATATATGACAAATAGGTAACTTACTTGTAATTCTAGTTGTAAGAGATATGAGGATTCCCCGAGATCTGAGAAAAATATGGAGTAAAGAGCATTTTCATGGATTGGTACACCATTTTTATACCAGGTACCATGCGGTTTTGAAGAACTTTTCACTCGACACTCCATCACAATTAATGCTCCACCGTCTTTTGGGATAATTCGTGGTTTGCTTAGAAATGTTGGCCCCTTAGCTGACCCTTTTTGCTCATCACCAGCACCTGGAATTTTTGTTAATAGAAATTTTGACAAGTAGTTGAAACTTTTATATCAATTCAAACAAGCTGTTATTTTGATTCATTCTATAAATCGTTATATGTGCTACAACTTTTTAAAACAAAAATATTCGCCAATTTTTCAGGTGAAACAATTCAGTAGGATTAAGCATTTGATTATAAACTTAACCTCCTGGCTATGAAACTTTTTAAAGCATTATTATTTTGATTTTTAATCTTGTTCATCGAAATTAATTAAAATTAGTGTAAAATGATGTACTTAATACTATTTAAAGAATCTCTAAAAAAGAAACTAAAACAGATTTCAAAATTTAACTGTGATAATAGTTAAAGATTGATAAGTTAAACTTCGTACCGTTTAACAATTTTTGTAATAAACTGATAGAGTTAATGAAAAAAAATAAAAAGTGTACAGTTTCTCTAGCTTATGAGAACCCAATTTGTATTTTATTTTAAGATTATCGTCAATATCTTTGCCGAAATTATTTGGCAAAAACCATCAAAATTAATTAATGAATATTAAACTAAATATTACAATTGCTTTTATCATGTGCTTCTTTCAAAATAAATAGCATACCAATGTCGGTTCCCATTTTGATCTCATTAAATTGAAGTGTTTAGGCAGTTCCAAAGATTAACATCAAAATTTATATAAAAATTTTAACCTGCGAAGTTAAGATTGATATTTGCATTTGATTCACCGAACTGATTCCTTGCTGTACATTTATATGCACCACCATCACCAACATTTGGCTCCTTAAATATAATAATTTATCAGTAAATCCCATTTATTTTGATGAAAAATTAGATATTTTACAATTAAAGTACTTTTTTTAAATTACTTTTTTACTTTTTTTTATTAAATTACTTTTTTATCTGGGTCGATCTATCATGAACTTTCAAATCAATGAAACCGTTCCTACTCTCTGGTAATATGCTATTCAGAAAAATAATCATGAAGTGTTTGAATTTCATTAGCAGAAAATCATGATACGGGTTGATGCGAACGATAGAAAAAGGAAGAATGACCGACAGGTAACAAAAATGTAATGTAATGAATATAAATATGGGATTTACATGATAAGAAATCAATCATGTAAATTTCAAATCAAATTTAATTTGATGGATTGATAGAACGCCGAATTTATTCATTGTAGTATAAGGTGAAAATCCCGTTTTATGATAATGGTTATTGAAAAAGTGTTAAAAATTCATTATTCGGAATGCTATGGTTTAGTTCAGTTTAACAGTTGTGTTTCGCGTTTGATTAATGATGATCGCAGCTGTTTGTCCTGCGGTTTCTGCTGTTGGTGTTGGTCCTGCGGAGTGAGATTGAAAACTATCACTATGATTCATTTATCCTTTTGATACACAAGCCAGAATCGTAGCACCAAAAATTTTGCGCTTAAACGTAAGCTTTATGTACTATTGAATGAGAGGAAAATTTTTAGTGGTTGATGAAGACAGCTGTGAAAATGATGATCAGAAAAGACGATAGTGATACTGATCGTAAAGATTAGAGTGATAGAATTACTGCTGCGAGAGAAAAAGGCAATTATTTGTATTCAAGTTATAGCTCATAGGGATTTCTTCCAAGTATTCTTTTGATTTTTCCTGCGAAAATCTGATAAATAGCAACATTTACGCTAACAATTTAGGCTGTTATTAAATATATTTTAAAATGCTCGAACGGATATCACGTAATACTTCAAAGACAAGTTCAGAAGGTCGAGGATGCACTAATTAAGAAGGATAAATTGCAATTTTCATCAAATAAGTGTTTCAAAGCTGTCAGAAAATGGCACTTACTAAACAAACAATTATTTTTGTTCTCATTCTGTTTGATTGTAACATGGAGCAAAGGATTTGGATATGTCTGTAAAACATATATCGTCATAATCTAATTGTTTGTGTAAATTCTTTCTAATTCATACTGTAATGATTAAATGTCATTTGCTACGAACTTCACTTACTGATTCCATAAAAAGGAAATGGATTTCTGCTGTGATAGATATTAGCTGATGGTAATACTTGGAGAATTGAAGCTTAATGATTTCACAATTAATTTATTTCAGCTTTTCATTCGTGATTCCCTTAAAAATTTACAATAATTTTTAGCGATTGAAAAAAAGATTTTCAAAAACTTTTTGAGATTAAAAAGCGAGAATTTTAACTGCTCTTTAATTTTTTCTTTTATGAATGTTTTTCATTTGCAGCCAATAATAAACTTGCTAATTGTCCAAAAATTCGAAAAAATAAACAATCATAATAAATCTTAATTTTATTTTATTATTGGAACAGGACACAGAAAAGAAACTGTTAAAGGCAGTCAATCGATCATTCATGAATGCCAATGGAAAATATTCCAAAATGGCGGACAACAAGCTATTTGATATGAAGCAAAAAAAGTTTGCTAAGAAGTTGTACTAAAAAAAGCGTTTAAAAACTAAAAAATTTTGGGTAAATCAATTTTATAGCAAATAACGTTTTCTTTTTTTTCAAAATCTGAAATATAATATCCTAAATGCCTCCAAAAATCAGAGTTAGATTTTTGCTGCACAATTGTACAGTTCAAATGAATATCATTCATTTAATAAGTGCTGTAAATTTTGACAAGCTGATTATACTTTGTTCAACAAATTTGCAAATCAGTTGCATTCTGTTGATCAAAAAACATTCACATGCATGAAAAAGTGGTGGCGATCGTATGAGGCGAAAAAAGAAAGTGACTGATCAGGCACTTTTATTTATGATTAAATCTTCCTTACTTTAGTTGAATGATAAAGTATGCAACGTTTTGTTAATGATTGTGCTCCGGATGCTTTGATTCATAGTTTTTGCAAACAAAAGATTTTAAATTTTGACTTGTTAATTTCAAGGCTGGAATAAAATCTCTGGTGTTACAAATTGACAGGTTTCATCTTGTGCAGATTGAACTAATAAAAATATATTCCAATAAAGTGAACATTGGAATAAGACTAAAGTCTAATTAATTTTACAGAACAATAAGTGATAATTACCTTGATGATTAAAATTGCTTTATAGAGACTGGATTGCAAATTGGTAAGTGTTAGCTTAACACGTGGTCCACCAATAATTGGCGTACCAGCATGGTTCCATACAATATCAGGCGGTGGATCAGCTTCCAGATAGCATTCCATTAACAGATCCCCTTGCGGTGTTTGTTGTATGGAGGGTTTCTGCGTAAAACGTGGCGCTCCAGGCATCTTTTCTATTTCTTCTTACTCGCTTCCAATTTGGTCTGTGATTCAAAGACTTGCAGATAGCGCTTGAAAAAGCAACATGCAAGCTTTTTCTATATTGGTCGAAATGCCAAATCCCGAGTTATGTGCAGTGGTTTGTGGTTTTCGTTTACAGTATAGTCCTGGAAAATGCAAATGCCTTAATAGGCAGTTGGGAATGAAAATTATTGTTCTACAGTTATAACTCGACGAAAAAAAAGTCTAAAGAAAACAAAAAGATGATTGCGCGCTATCACTGAAACAGCAACGTTTGGATGTGAAGAGAAGATGGATTGATGCAATGAAGATAGCAAAAGCTTTAGCTTTCAGAGCTCAAGAGTTTTAGAGCTTCAAAGATCCGAGATTTTAGGAAGTCACCACATATCTTCTCCATCAGTACTTGACTCTGGTTGTCAAGAAATACGGCAACTCCCGCAGTTCAACAAATCCTTTGCTCTAAAAATAAATCTGTTTAACTTCAACATATCTTCCATTTTCCCAGGTTCTCCATCTTTCTAGTCCTCTCTCTATCTTTCTTTCCTTACCTATTGCTTCTCTGCTTCTCTTTCCCACCTTCTATTTTTTTTAAATAAAAAATTTGAAATGAAATTTCTCGAACGCATGTATCACTGCTACTGCCTGCTTCTTACTTTACCCTTCTCTCACCGTTCATTCATTAAGGTGGAAGTAGTCTCATCGTTAATCAGCTTAGTACTCTTTAAAATCCAAACATTCAAACACACAAATATATTGATATCTATGCAACTAAAACAACTCTGGGAAATATTATTTATTTCCACAATATTACCGCTTCACATTTCTAAATATATTCCTCTGCAGAATGTCTCAAATTTTGCCATTTGAAATTAAAATTGGGAAATATTTAAAACTATTAACTTCGATTAAAATCCATGAATTGAAAAGGGATCAGCCTATTAATTCCTTGAGAGCTATTTACTTCCTATTAAGTACTTTTATAGTGTAATATGTATTGTATCATCGATTCTTCTATTAAGAAATGGAACATATTATTGGCAGTACATGATGTCCACCTTTTTGAAGTGGGAGTGTGAATTAGGTGTACTTCATATAAAAGATCAAAAATTTGTGATAAGGTCCATTTCTCATCAATATTTATTCATTTCATCTTGACTTTCACGCTTGCTTGGCGTCTTCTCTTGGTAATAAAAATTAGAGCAAGCATTTCTCACACTTTTTAAACCACAAATGGACTATTGTGATAATTTTTCAACTTCAAAATGAAACTTTAAGAACAAATTAACTGATAGATTCAAAATGCTATCGGATTGTTACATTTAACGACGTCAAAAATGAGTACTTCTAATGAGTTTTACTTAGAAAATTGCTGAATTTAAATACGCTTCGATATTACCATCCAATATATCGTTTGCAAAGAACAATTTCTTGCGCATTTTTGATGGATATGCTGAACATATTTATGCATGCTGCGACAACCAAAATTTTAGACATATATCTATATATAAAAGTTCCTCTTTCTCCTTTCTTTAGATAAAAAGATAGATAATTAAATTAAATCAAGTTTATTCTGAGTTGCACCGAGAATTCCAATATCATATAAGCTATAGTGATGCATGAGAGGTGTAGGAACTTATGAGATTTTGTCCTTACTGATTTTGATTTTACTAATTTTTCTAATGAGCTCATGGCGTTTAATAGAATTTAGAATCTCCGTTATTTCTCTTTAATTTGTGAAGCTTTTAGGATTTGTGACAATGACATAATTGTGATGCTTTCAGACATTCTTTATCATTGTACTTATTTTAAGATCATTATCAATTAATTAGTGTTTGCTTATCTTCCAGTAAGGTGGTGCAAATTTTCTGCCTTCTACATTTTCTGCATTTTTCTGAAATTTTACTCTTTTTTCTAAGAATTTCATCGAGCGAACACTATTTGATTGAGAAATATAAATATAAGAAGCAATTAGTCATTAATTTAGTTCTGCAACGAAAAAACAGACGCAGGACAAACAATCCAATAGTTAAAACTATGTTTGAATGACAGAAGAAAAATAGAAAATAACAAGAAATTACGGCTGATTGGTTGGTTACCTTCCGTAATATGAAGTTACTAATAATTCATTCTTAAACATTCTGTTCCTTTTTAAAATGATACCTGTAATAATGAAACGATTAACGATTAATTTTCCAAAAAAAAAAATCGTTTGATTCAAAAGAATTGAAATTCCGATTCCACCAAATTGAAGCAGTGGAAAAGAGGCAACTACTTCTCCTCATATAAAACGAGGCGATACTGCTCCGTGTTCTCTGATTAAAATTGGAATTTGATCCAATACATTCAGCATAAACAATGAGCAAATTAAAAGAAATATTTTAGTAGCTAAAGCGGAATTCGCTGCCCAGATTCTCGTAACCTTTCACGCATTTGATAGATGATAATGAGCAGAATAGCGTATAGCAGGCAATTTTTAATTTAAATTAATCACTGTAGCTAAAATTAAAGATTCCGCATCGTTAATTTTTAATGTAACATATGTTAAGGCAAGTATGGAAGAACAAATAGTTAGAATTTACTAACACTTCTCAAATGAATGGCTAATATCACGGTTATATTGATTAAATATTTTAAGGCAATATCATTAGTAATGACAACATTTCTTTTAAACATCTAACGCGAGAATAGAATGAATATAGTGATCTTTATGTCGAAAATTACGAGCTACAAGAAAACTTAGCCTTAAATTTGCTACAAACGTCATACCATGGACAAATTGTTTCTTCTCCGCTTCTCCGTGCTTGTATCTAGAGAGAGAGTGAGAGAAAGAGAGAGAGAGAGAAAAAAAAAACTAGCTACCGAGTGTAAAATAGGATTTTTGGATCTTGAACAGTCCTTGTAATGATATTATCTGATTTGTTAAAACTTCTTTTGAGAAATCAAATTTGACATGACGTACCTATCGAATTTATTTTTCAAATATGAAATCAAAATGTCATGGTACTCCTTCTGAAACTTCCAGCAAAAATTAACATCTCTTCGCATGCAAAAACTATCAATTGTTTAAATGATTCAAAACTTCGTCAAAACGTAATAAGTAGAAAAAATGAATCAGTTAATTAGTGTGACTAGGCACCTGAATACATTTCACATTGCATATTTCTATTCTACAAAATATATTAATCGGTTAAAAAAATATTTCAGCGCGAATTTAATTTATGACTTGATTATAACAATAAAAAAGTATCATTTGCCAGCACAAACCGCACCATTTTTTAAATGATAGCACACTGATAATATGTTTGTTCATTCCGATATAATTTTTAATACTCTTCCATTTAAAATAACTTTTCTCTGATCCGAAGCCAACGTGCGAAATAGAAAAATGCATAGATGTATAGAAATGCCTGGGATAAGGTCAAATGAAATACGAATAAAAACAAGGGAAAACAATTCGTCTGCAAGTTTATGTAGACGAAAAAGTAATAAAAGAGATGAATATCAATGTCGGAAAATCAAGATACTGTAACAAGAACATTTGTTATCATCTTTCCAGAATGATAAAAAAACCGACACAATCAGAAACATGAAGTGCTACTTATCATCATTCTCCGAAACATGAAAAATCTTTAGAACAAAAAGCTCTGATCCCCTTTTCAACATATCCTATCATTTCCTATTAAAACTTGAGATTCATTTAAAAAACTAGCACTGTAAAGACTGGTGAAATTGAGTTGCATTTGAAAGAAGAAGGGGAAAGCACAATTCAGTCAACTGATCCCTATTTATATCTGTAAATCTTTTTTTTTCTTTTCTTTTCTCTCTCTTTTACAGAATCTTTTTAAAAATTTGTAACACATCAGAACATCATAAAAAGAAATGATGATATAATTCGAGTTCGTGAAGGTTTTAACAAGCCAACAATTGAATAAAATGAGGAGAAGGAGAAAAGCGAATAATTTTATAGATTTCAGGATGAGAAAACCCACAAGGGAAGATGGTGAGAAGTTAAAAAGTACAAGAAATTCATTTCAGAATGACTTCATGTTGCAGATCAACAGTTCCATTCTATTTTACAAGCGGTGAAATATTTTTTAGTTAAAAGTATGGGAAGCAATTTGTAGAAAGAATACATTTACTTCTGTCTTGAAAGAACCAACAGAAACGAAAAAGCATCAGAAATTAAGGGATATAAAAGATTAAAGAGAAGTAGCAATTTGAAGGCGTAAGTAATTGCAGAAGTGTGGTAAAGCAATGACAACAAGGAAAGATCGTTTCATTAAGTCTGAAGTGAAGAATAAGTATGAAAGTTTTTCTTTACGTATAGCTGCTTGTGCAATTATTAACGTTCTATATGGATTTATGTATTTCTCTCTGCATATATACATACAAGAAATTTTAAAACAGAAATTTCGAGCTAAGAGTTCTCCTGTTTGAATTCCTCAGTCCTTCTCCTCTTCTATCACCTTCAGTTTTGTTGCATTCCCTGCAGCTGTTATTTTAGCGATAGAGCTAGATAGTATGAAGCTATCACAATTTCGCTAGTGTAGCTAACTGGTTACACTGGCCTCATCACACAAACACATACACACACACATACATACATACATACATGCACACAGATATACGCGCAAAAGTTCAATCCTTTACTTCTATTTTCATTTTTTTCAATTCCTATCATGTATTCTGCCATAGCTACTCTCGGTACCTGTGAAAGGGTTCTAAAAATTGACGTGAACCTTTTCTTGAAATTTCTATCTCCCATTATATATCATCAGGATAGCACCAGTAGTGGTGTGTTGATAAAGAGGTATTATTGTTTACTTGTTCATTTTTCATTTGTCCAGTTCTCATGATAGGTGGAAACTTATTCCCACTTAAGGATCAATAAACAATATAATTAGAATAACATTCGAAATTAATTGGAGCATCTACAGTACATCCTATACCTAAAAATTTTATCACCCCACTTGGTTTATGAGGATCAT